CGGCAAGATTCTCGGAAATTTCCGGGGAGGAAATACAAAAGCTCGCCGAAAAGCAGTAAACAAAAATACAGTCAAAACTACTAAGACGTGGATGAATGTTTGGAGGTCGTGAACAGAAAGCAATGGCATTGACATTGACATTGTCAAATACGAAGCTAAAGAACTGGACGAATGTCTCTCGCGATTTTTTGCCGAAATTCGCAAAAGCGATGGCTCCAACTATGAGCCGGACAGTCTAAAGGTTAAGTTAGCTGCCCAAACAAAATGAAAACAAAATATTCATAGCGAAAGACCGAGAATTCGTCAAGTGCAGTCAGGTCCTGGGGGGGGAAAGCAGGAGCTCTTCGCAAAAAAAGCCACGGAAAGCGACCAAATGCAACAAAAGCATTTACCGTCCAAGATGAAGAGCAGCTAAGGAAAAATCGTGTACTTAGCGAACAAACTCCAAAGTCACTCCTTTATACTCTGTGGTATCTGCTCACCCTTCATGTTGGTCTTCGTGGTGAAGAAGAAGAAATGCGAAACAGTGGCCCGTTTTATCTCGCCATCATTGAAAATCCGAAATCCGAAATCCGAAGTGTGGTACAAGAAACAGAGGATGGGTGTCAATAAGATTGACTCCTTCATGAAAAATATTGGCCTTGGAAGTGGAATTGGATGTAGACGGAAGAAAGTTAATCAACCATTCGGTAAGAAAAGCGCTAATGAAGAAGCTGAAGACCTCGAATCAGCCAAGAACTGCTATCATCGGTGTAATAGGCCATACAAGCGAGCGTTCACTGGCAGACTACGAGGAAGGTGACGAAGCAGAACAGCGACAGATTTCATCCATCATCAGCTCTCCTGTGTCTCCTGTCTGCCAACAGGTTCAGAATTCCCGTCCAGTTCTTTCCAGTTTACCCATTCAGCACAATCATACAGCGACTCCAGCCTGCCAAACAGTAGTCCATCACTTTCATAGCTGTCAGGTGACGATAAATTACGGAGCTGGTGTTGGTGTTTTTCAACAAAGCAGCAACTTAACACTGGGAGAAGCTTACCCATACCTTATCTTAAGTTGTGGTTTCGCTTCACCGCTGCAGTGACTGCTAAAACCGTGATTTGAAAATTACTTTCATTGAACTATTTCATGTTGTTTGCCCTGAATGGTTTGAACTGGTTTCACAAAATAACTGTCAATCATTGTGAACGCATAAAACGATTAAACTACACAAACTTGAATACACGTACTTGTAATTCGTCGTTTGTACGGTGGTACGACTTTTACAATCTTGTACGGTTTCGAAAACTAAAATCAAGGAAAATTACAACTATAAATACGGGAAAAAGACTAGACAG